AACGATATTTAATATGAATTCGAAATTGTTATGTTTAATCTTTGTGAATATTTCCCAAGATAAGAAATTTTAAAACTTTTACTGTACGAAGTTTAAATATACAATCTGACATACAAAAATCTGTATCAATAGGAGTTTTCTAAAGAATTTGAAATAAATCATTAGAAGACATCAGTTACCTTTTAGTTTTTGAGCTAAGAAAATGTTTATTAAAGGAATTTCCGATTTGTTTAACATGTTCTTGTTAACGGAAATAACTTTGAAATGAAAAGAGGTCAAAAGGATACCAAACGGAAATTCCAAAAACTAATAGGATTTCTTTTAATGAACTGACTAATAGTGATGATATACATACATATCTACATTATACCCTGCACCACTATAGTGGGGACGGTATTATGCGTTTGTTCCCCCGAATACTGCTCTTGAACTCATAATTATATTAAATGTTTTAGTTTCTCTACAAAAATCAGTAAAACATGTTTTGGATAAGTCTAAAACTTAATGCCGATTTTCGTAATGATTGGGCATCATTTGACCTAGCTCCCATACAAATCCTCTTCATATAATGACTTGAAGGTCAATAATTCACTTATTAACACTAGTATCGGAATAACATTTTGCATAAATGATGTAAACGTAAATCCCTCTATCAATATTTATAAGGATAGGCCCATATTTACTCTTGCCTCCAGGTATTTTCCGAAATGAGGGTTATACATTTCAGAAAATACCTTTTTATCAAAATTTTTTTAAAATATTTCAGAATTAGGAAAAGAAACTACTTAAATGATTTATTATTAAAAATAATCCACATTTTTTACATACTACTCACTGGTGTAAGGTATGGTCGACCATGTCCAACTATACGTTCGTACTTCTTTTAATATTATTCTTGTTTTATTGTTCCAAGAAGATTTTTATTCAAAGAAGTAAATATTTATCAAATTAGGAAAATATTCTTGTGATTGGCCACATGACTTATGATAAAAGTTCGCTATAAATTGAATTCTCCATAAAAAAAATTATTCACCACAAATGGTTCACTAGAATTCATGAGTTTTTTGCTAGCGAAGTTAGGAAATGTATAATATAAACCCAGGAGAAACTCGGTAATGAATTGTACTTACACAACTACTTACTTTTCAATACCGGCTGCATTATTTTTAAGTACTCTTATAATGACTTACATACATGGAAAGAAAATAGTTTTTCTGAGCGAAAACCATTATTTGACGCACAATAAAATAACTAAACTGTGATATTGTGAGTACGACAGCGATCTAACGAACAACGAGTTCAGGTTCGTATTCTGTGTGAACAATTTTTTGTGCGTAAAACAAAACGATGTGTTAACTTCCTATTTGTAAGTACATATTTAAGTAGTAATTTGTAAGCGAGCGTATTAAATACTTGCCTCTAATGTCATCTCCGTGTTGAAATACTAATGCAGAAGTAGTGAAAATAGGCTTTTTTAGCTTTTTAATAAATTACGTTTCAATACATGTAAGTTTTTGCTGGGATTATATATATCCAAGTTAAACATACTATATAGAAAGTTTCATAAGTTATATGAAAATAAAGTTTCCTGTTCGGTACTTATGTAAACGGAGAAAATCACCAAAATCGAATAACTTTTTTCATGTAAGGGGGGTATAAAACAAAGACAGCAATCTCCATTGATATGATATAACGTGATAATTTTACGTGTACGCCGATCTAATGTATAGGGTATGCGATTGTGCTGGAATTTGTAACGCACAAATTTTAGGACCTTAAGTGTACTTTTAATTAATTCCTCATATAAATGTCCTACCGAAACAGGAATTAAAAAGCATAAATAAATAGAATCTACAAATGCCCACATCGGTTCATATTTGGACATAACAATGATATAAACCCACATTTCAAAAATCGCTTAAATATCTAAGAATCTCTTAAATATATGGTCATAGATCCCATATAAGAATTTTGAAAAAAATTTAATTTGTATAAAAAAATGTCGTTATTGCGATAAAATTTAATACGAATAACATTCGAATACAGAATAATAATATTGACCAAATATATTTTCCTCATTGTTAACAGTTGCAAACTTTTGCAGATTGTCTTATAATTGTTTGCAGATTTATTTAGTTTTTTTTATTAAGCTTTTTTTTTATTCCGTTAATAAAAATAAATTTGGGAAAATATTTTTTGTAGAATTTACGTATTTAAAGTGCAATTTTAAGTTATTTATTTGCAACGTGACTTTTACGTAAATAAAACTATGAAAATTGTAAATAAACGTTGAAAAAAATTCAAAAAAATTTATTTAGTTTATTAAGAATGCTATTAGGTTAATTGCTAGCTAAAATATAGTTATGTAAAGTTTTAAGGCGCCAATTAAATGTTTTTATCAAATTTAATACCTTAATTTTGATCAAAATCAAATTCCTACAGCTGTGTACATAAAAAGTTTCTTTCATAAACTTCTAAAAGCTTAAAGTTTTAAATTAGACAATTTTGTCACTGATCAAATCCCACTTGGGGAAAATTTTCTTAAGTGGGTAATTGATATCTAACACTTAGTCATAGTCTCGTGTGACATTTTTGTAACAAACTCAAAAATGATATGTATTTCCGAATCAGATTAGTGGAGCACATTCATAAGATTTTACTGAATTATATATACATATTATATATTGCATGCATTTTAACATTTTTCATGAAAAGGGAGAGCACAACAGGCCCAATAGTGGGCCCAGGTGTATTTCTTCGGATCTAATGCAGATACATCGTCCTATAAACCTAATGTAACCATAAAAATAGATCAGTAGCTCAGTGGCAAGACCTTCTGACTACAAATCGATTAACACCAAGTTTAACCTCAGTTTCACAATTAATTTTTTCTTTTTTGTGGGAGTATTTGAACTAGTGAAATTAATGGCAACTTGTTAAATTGCTACTAGCTTGAAAATTCAATATTGATAGTTCTTAGTGGGTCGCCGTTATCAAACTAGTTTGCCGTAATACGGGGTAGTAACTATTTTTCAAGGGAATTAGCCTAATTTAAAAAAAAGAATTTTTTATCGCCTTTTAATATCCTACGACACTATAGGCGGGAGGTTATTATACATTTGTTCTTATGTCTGTAACGCACAAAAATATTACTCCTACACTTATTACTATCCATTTGAAAATCGTAATAAATACGATATACATATATCAACATAAATGCATTTATTAATTTTTTTATGTATAGGACAATATTTGACCCTTGCCCCCATACAAAGCTCTTGAGATAAAATCCGATGTAAATGATAAACTAGTGCAGAGTATAATCGGTCATGATCGTCTATATTTTCTTTCTTGTTTAAAAGTGTGAATAATTTTGAAATCTGGAGTGTAGGTTTTATTTTGGGATTTTAATCCAGATCCATCAAATTTACCAATTTTAAGATTACTAGGCATGGGGAAGTTTTTTGCTGAAATGTTTTCATCAAGTATAAATTTAGTATTATTTCGAAGTATGTATATACATTAGGGTATAACCAAAATTAGGCCCTATCTCTAGGCGGTAGCCAGTAGTGTTCTAATAACGAAAACCTTCTCGCTAAATCGATTTTCTAAAACCATTCACAACCAAAATTACAAATCTACATGTTTGGGTAATAAATTTTGATGAGGGATACACCGCAGCGCTATACTTGACTTTTCTCCTTCTAAACGTCGTTTAGTATTAAAATGGTAAACATTTTGTTTAGAGTAAATATCGAAAACTTGAAAGAATTTGCCGCGGAAATTTAAAATTTAATACTCCGAATAGGGCCGACTTAAAATTTTCGAAAATTGTATGAAAGTTATAACACTAATATACATACGTAGCTGTAGTTGCGAATCTAATAATACTTGTCAATAAATAAAAATTATTAAAATTTGTATGTACGTATAAATCCACATTGGGGGTTTTTTTTATGATTTACATTAAAAATATTAGGCATTAGTGTGTATGGGGAAAAATATATGCATGCAGAGCAAAAATAAATTGACCACTGACACCGTTTCCAATTAATGATTGTGCAAAAATAACTTTTACACATGCGTCACCCACCATCCATGAATATCGACGAAACCATACCTTGCTCACATTTCGACATTCGATTACGTATTCAGAGTAACGGCATTCTTAATGACATCTTTTCTTCAGAGGTAAAAAAATAAAGAATGTTCAAAAATAACTGCAATAATTGTATTCGTATATAAATATATAAATATGTACATATGTATGTAAAACCAAAATAAAAATACGATTTATTATTGATCAAAATTATAATTGGACTTACATACATTTAAACGAGATTAGTTCTTCAATTCATCGTTTAGCGTAAATCCTAAATATACATTTTTAAGAAAGCATGTGCGATTAGGGTTTTCGATAATTGTTTTTTTTTGGGGGAACTTTTTGTCATAGTTAGAAACGTTCGCGTTTTAGGAATATTTTTAAAATAAACGTAACTCTTAGACCAACACGTTTTCAATTCTATACCGTTACCAAAATAAACCAAAATAGCTTTACCAATACCTTTCTACCATTTCAAAAAAGATCTTAAGTCTCTTAAAACTACTACACTAACAACTATTTAATAATTAGCAGGTTTATTCTAAATTTCTACTCGATTATTAAACCTTATGTCGATCAATTATGTAAAAAATCGAAACCCCTAAATTTGTATTTCATATTGATTCACTGAAACGTACTTGAATAATTTTGGAAACTAAAAAAAAATCGTCTGACTCTACGAGTACAAAATAAAACATCATCATTTCGCGATCATGTTGATTCAATTGAATTCTCTGTTTTGGTTGCTGCTTATTATTGTTGTTGTCTCGCTTAACTCACTCTCATTTAACTTGTGGTTGTTGTTGTTATTAACGTAGTATTTCGATCACCGGTCAGTAAAATGATCCTGCTGTTGGTCGTGTCGATATAAAAAGCTCTCACCTGAAATTAATGCTTTCATTTGTTTTCAATATTCATTTCAGAAACAACACCAACTGATATTTCAACAAATCTTATTAATTAATTAATTAAATTTATATCTCTTATTAATTGTTTTTGTTTTCGTTATTTTTGCAATTGTTCTAATTTGTTCATAGAAGGTTTAAAAACATAATTGAGTGTCGCGGTAACTAGATACATATTTGCGAATATTTTCTAGTTTAAATGTATAACAAAGGAATTAAATAAAAAAATAAAACGTGCTACTATTTATATAAAAATAAGAAATACAATTAAAAAAAAAACAATTAATAAAAACTATCTCTATAAAGTGAACTTAAAACGTGTAAAAAATAAAAATGTATCTTAAGGTAAGTAAAGAATTTCACAAGAATGTCACCCTTTTTGATTAGAGTAAGCAATTAATTTAAATAGTGGGTTTTTTTTTCTTAAATCAGAGTCTGACATCGAAATAAATGTGTTTTTTGACTAAAAATAAAGTGTAATTCTTCTTTTGTCTTCGATATATTTATGCATTTCCGTATTTAAATACAGCGCGTAAAACTTACTAAGACGTTTGTGCTCAATGCATTACATTTGCCAACTGATTGACCAGAAATCGCTCACATTAATTCATACAAACATATGTATAAAACTATATACATTTTGACACACAATAAATATCAGTGTGTAAAAAAAAAGTTGCATTATGTTACATAATTTTTTGTAATTTCAAATGTATTGGAAAAATACTGATAAAAATGTAAACAACAAAAGAAAGATACTTTTATTTGTATAGAAGTTTTAAATTTATTTTCAATGACAAGGGAATGTAAGAAGACATGATCTATAGAGCTGTTATTAAATGTACATACATATGAGCATTTCCATCGAAAAGTCTTTTTTTGCTTAACTGGCGATATATATAGTTAGGAAAAAGAAGATACCAATCTTAATGGTTCCAGATATAGGCAGCTAATGGTGCGTGTCGTGATGTGACAAAAGTAGAGTTATCGGTGGAAATGCCCATATGTCATATTCATTTCATATTCTACTACTGAAGATTTATTTCGCTATATTATGCACTATGTTGTGACTTCTGGGCTATAAATGTTTTTGTTTATTTATGATGGGGACAGTTATTCCAATTATGCTCCGATCTTCAAAAAATTTTGTTAAGGAATTTCATCGTGATACTGATATTTATAAATCAATTATGAACATTAAAGTGATTTAATGAAGGGAAACTTATAAAGAGTCTATGGAATGATTTTCGACAAACTATACGATAAGATTTTTATCACAAAAACTGATGCTGATCTGACTCCGCTATTATTAAAATTTTAAATTACGTACCCACAATATTTGCTCACTCGTTTAGGAACTTAACGATTGTAAACCTAAAAATTTCTTCAATCTATTTCTATCTGACCAAATATTTTAAATATAAAAATTAAGAAGCTCTATAATCACTCCTATTCTGCATTTCGATTACGTTTACGCATTCAGTTACCCAACGATCGAACATAGGTATTTCATTTCGTTTAAATGCTTTACGATTGTGTGTATTCTGCATTACGATCGTAGCTACATTTTTGCAAGTTGTTATTTATGTGGCTGAGAGTCGAATCGAAATGCAGAATATACCAAAGTTGGCAAGTTTATCGTCGACAAACAGCGAATTCAACATTCTGATGAATGTTTACTCCCATATCTATAAACGCTTAATAAATGTTTATTGTAGAAGTCTTGTATGGAAATAATGCTTAATAAAGGTGGCATGTCATAATGTCCAGTGACATAATGTCCATTGACCTTATGACACACTATAAAGCGACATAATGTCCATGGACATTATGTCACTTTTTTAAAATGTCATAATGTCCATGGACATTGTGACACTTTGAAATCAGAAATGTATTGGAAAATTTGTTTAAAATTTAAGATAGGGACGCTCTTATCCCGAAAAGAATTGCTCCTAAATTTGGTAATTGTTACATTTTGGACTCCTATTAAAAAGTGTCCTGGATAGCCGGTCTTCGGCCGGGCGCAGGGGTTTCAAACTCTGGGGTATTTCGAACACCGGCTTCGCTAAATTAAGCCTTTTTTGATAAATGGACTCTTTGAAATCCATGGACTTTATGTCCCATTGCTCATGGACATTGTAACACTTTTGAAATTGTCATAACGTCCATGGACATTATGACTCAATTTAGTGCGTCATAACGTCTATGGACATTATGACATTGGACATTATGACACGCCACCCTTAATAAAACATAAATAAGTGATTAATATAATTATGAGTTAAGAAAAAGCAAGAAAGCTCAGACTGCTTTAAATAGTTTTGAAGGTGTGTAAAGTATTAATTGCAAAATATATAATAATAATTCAATTAGAGATTAAGAAAATGTATCGAGTACCAAAAATTATTTGGGTCACATAAGAAATCATGTAGAGTGAAGATACCTTAAAATATCGTTGACAAAATAACTAAAAGATGCTTTTCTAAAGTGGGATACACTAAAGTGTATCACAAAATAGTTAAAGTAGATATTTAAGATTGAAAAATCTAAAAATCGATATTTGACTACAAAATATAAGACACCATGGTATGTTCCATTATTTTATTAGTTCCGGTAGATTAGTTAATACACAAACTAATCTATTAGTCTCGATATTAAGGGTTCGTTTTATTTGTCTTATAAAGGCATAAAAGGGTTAATATATGTATGTTTGTATATTTCTTCATAACAGCATATATTTAATCATTATAAATTATGTACATTATTATGATGTAAAAATACATTTCAGTTACATATGTAAGTATGTATATAAAATATAACGGTATATGTATTTAAAACTAAACTTATACAAAGTAGGTATATTATAATAAATATCTGTGGAATTCAAAAATATTTATGTATTATCATCGAAAAAGGATTAGGGGTATATTGATATTGTCATTCCGTTATTTATATATTGTTTGTTATTGAAAATGAAAAATATCGTAGGTCGATGCTTTAAAATAGCCCCATACAGTTTAAGCTGCCATAACTGGTTTAAAAAATGGACAAGTACCTATACCGACGAAATTCGAGATAAATAAGATTTATAAGAACCAAAATATATCTACCAAATTTTATGAGAACTGGTCCATAATTGACCTTACCTACATATAGAATACCCTTCAGAAAATTACTTTAATTACTGGCTTAAAAATTAGAACACAGCGATGAAATTCGACATAAACAAGTTCTATATAAACCGAAAGACATCGATTTTTCAAGTTGGGTCACTTGACACGAAATGACCCATATATAAAGATGAATTTGTGTTTGTTCGTTTGTGGGTGTGTTTGAAGTCTATAGACACCTAAAGATCTTCCTATATGTCTGGAAGGAATTATAGGCTAATATTTACTTTGAAACTTCAAGTATGCGAGATGTCAGGCCCACATACAAAATAAATATTCAAATTTGCATATCTCAGTAACAGTTAAGGTCCTCAAATTTTATATGGACAATTTTGACAACCGCGTGAATATTTGGGGATACAATGGACGGACGGCTATAAGGGGCGGGGCACCTCCCATATTAAGTAAATATTAAAGTATTATAAGAAAATATTACAGTTAGAATCCCTGCGGAGACACTTCAGTATCATTATAAATAGTCTGCGTGGCACCTCCCTCATGAATTTTAAATTTAAAAATTCGTATATCTGGGAACCCATCTGAGCTATAATTCTCACATTTTGCACGGGCAACATTAAAATTCAAATAAACAATTTGAAGAAATATGGCCGGACTAGAAATTGGGACATATACGAATTAAAAAGAAAAATTCGTATATTTAGAATATTATTGGAGTTAGAATCCTCAAATTTTTGAAGAAAAAATTTGATATTCATGTAAATATTTGGGAAATAAATTGGCGGATTAGAAATAGGGGCGAGTCACTTGTCGTGTGAATTAAATACTAAAATTCGTATATCTGGCATATCGTTAGAGTTAGAATAGTCAAACTTTACACGACCAACATTGAAATACATGTAAACATTTGAGGATAAAATGAACTGACTGGCTAAAGTAGGCGGGCACTTCCCATGTCATGAAAATATTAATTTAGTATATCTGAACAATAAAACAGTTATCCCCATTTTCTCAATGTCTGGTTATATTTTATTAAAACGATAGATTGACAGTTTTCATACAAAAATATGTTTAATCCACAGAATATCTACCGGTCAAACGATAACCGGAGGTTGAGATAACGGTCCTTAGTGTACTTAAATTTTGTCGGAGTCGCTTTAGTGTCAATTGAAATACATATTTACGATACAAATGAACGGTCTAGCAATAGGGGTGTGGTACTCTCATATGAATTAAATAAAAAACTCGTATATCTGAGTAACTATTAGAGCTAGAATCCTCAAAATTTACATGAACAACCTTGACATCCATGTGAACATTTGGGTAATATATTGGCAGATAAATTTAATACTAATAGCGAAGCACACTGGATATATAAATCAAATAATATTTGATCTAGATTGAATTTCGAAAAACGAAAAATAACGTTTCGGTAAAATTTAATGATCTTTCTGATACATACATATGTATATTAACTTCAGTTAACTAAATTAAATAGATCTACTTACATACATATGTATGTAAAATTAGAATGGTATCTAAGAATGAAACAAACTTTAATTTCTAAGGGAACATCATTGCCTTATTTTCTCCCATACAAACAGGGCCACCCTAATGTACATATACATATGTATGCTATTTAGCCTTGATATTTGACTAGAAAAAATGTATTCCTATTATCAAATCGGAAAAAAAATCACGTATTATTTTATTATTGTTTTTTAATTCAACATGTATTTATGTAAAAATATAATTTTCTTAAAATTTTGTATTTACTTATGTTTTATTTGTTTTTTTATTATTAATCCCCATTTTAAACATTAAGGGCGGGTTTTTCAGGTAAAGATAATCTACATAATCTTTGTTTAAATCTAGTTTAATATATGTTTTGTGTTTTTCAGTAAACAGTAACGTTACTTATTATCTTAGTTTAACTGAGTGTTATTGGCCAATTAAACTTAAGTTATAGTGAGAAGACACAATTAACAAAAACAATAAAACAATGATTTCGGAAGAACAAAAACTTAATATTTTAAGTAAATTGCAATTTTCTGATTTGTTTTGTTTTATTTATTATTATTTCAAATGTTTATTTAACATTTTTCCAAAATTTTTCATTTTATAAAAGTATTATGTATTTGCAAAAAACAGCTGTTCATTGTTTATGTTTTTGAGTGAAAAGTTGGCAATACTAACAAAGTTAACTGAACTTAAATCCATAACTGAAAAACATAGTCATCGGTTTAAGTCCGCCTAAATTTGTTCCGAGTTTTATCTAACAGCAAGTTAAGCCTACATTAACTGAGTAGTAAGAAACCCGCCCTAATATACATACAAATGCACATAACATAACTTTAACATATTGACAGTTTTCATACAAACATTATTGTAAGCGACAGAATAACACCGATAACTGGAGTTGGAGAAAATGGCGATTAAGAAATTATTTTTGTTTAATTATTTCATATTTTTTGTGTTCTTTTTAGAAAAAATGTTTGACGGCGCTCTTGGTTATTTGTTGCATTTATACATTTTGTTGTTCGGAAGTATCGGCTTGTTCGCTTGATCGTATGAAAGAATATGCAAAGCAGGCATGTGAACATCTATTTGATTTTGACGCGGAAGTTAGAGAAAGACGTTCACTCGACTTTAAGAAAAATTATGATTATCTACCAAGACAACGTAAGTATGAATTTGAAAAAATTTTAGAAAACTCGGAAGGAAAAAATTTATAAAGATTCAAAAAATGTATAAAAAGTCTACTGAATATTAATGAATAATTAAATATGCATTATATAAAAAGTCAATGCACATTTATTTATCAATGAATTGGAATTGATAAATATACACAATTCACTTGCATAAATATACACACATACATACATATGTATGTATGTATATATTTGTATTGCACATACTATACATGCCATATATGGTTAATAAGGTTACAAAGTCAACCAACTTTAGCTAAATATTATAATATTTTAAACACAATTGCAGCAATAAAAATAGCATCACTAAGTTGACATAAAATTTGTCGAAATTTTATATCGATTTTTTATTTAATTTTGTAACAATATTTCTATTGCACTTGTGATTTATTTTATTATTAAATAGATAGAAGCTGCTATATTCATTTTCACAACTGTTTAACAGTATAATTTGTTTAATTGTTTGTCTGTTTGTTTGTTTATTTGTTGATACTAAAAATAACCGGAAATTGTGCACAGATTTAAACAAAAATCTTTTTTTTTTTTAATTACTTATTTACATGCTTACAGTCATGTATACGAACATTTATAAAATAATAATAATAATTTAGTAAATAAAAGTGTCGTCCTCAAAACATACATTGACCCTGTGTGCATGCAAAACTATTTCCAATGACCGGAAATAAAATATGTAGTTCCCTTTTGCTGTTACAATATTTTAATTTTAATTGTTTTTTTATTCGTTTTATTTTATTTTGCAGCATTAAAACATTCTCTCAATGTTAGACGCAGCATCTATCCACCTGGTGGTTATTTGAAAGTGGCCCCAGAACATTATAATAAATTAAGTCTTTTGGATGTGAGTCCTCGTTACAAGTCCAAGAAAATCTCTCATATAATGAATGAGAAGAAGATGCGCAACAAACGCGAAGGCAAAAACTATCTGAATTACAACAATAATATTCCATATTGCTGTTTCCACAGATGCGATGAGGACTTCTTCTGTTGATCGTGTATTACCTGCGGTGGCTTCTGTGCGTAACCATATTTATAAGAAAGACATTTAGTTAATTATTTAGTATAATTAGTATGTTTATTTTAATTATAATTTTATTAATTGATCGAATTATGCAAATGATGCCTTCCATTTAGATTTAGACATGTATTTAAGCTTTTAGAAAGACTAAAATATGTACCTTATTAGCATAAAATAACTCCGCTATTCATAAACAGTTAGTAAAGTTATAAATGTTTTATAACAAGATATTTTTTCTGCAAAGAAAAGCTTAATAAACAATTGATAACTTTATGAATATAGGTTTAATTCATAAAATAACAAATACAAATTTAAGTTACTTATCATTCAGTATTATTGTGCAAATTGCATTTGCCATTCCCACCAAACCCCGTCCACCACTTAACAATCCGTTCCAATAACAATTGGATAAATTCCAATTCATTAACTATTTCATAAGAATTTTTACTGTTTACATTAATTAAGTTTAGTTTACATTTTTTTTATACTTTTACTATATTTTTGTATTATTTTTAACTGTTTTATATATGCGTAATATCTTGTAAAGAAAAGAGCATAGTAAATCATTAACAAAATATTAGTTAATAAACAAAGAAGTGTTTTAGTCATTGGAAAGTAAATAAAAATACATTGGAAAGTAATACTAAAATACAATTTGCGTGTTTGAACTCATTATTTCATATCCGAAATATTTGTGGAAAATCACATAGTCTTCAATTTTAACAATTACCCTTAATTTATGTACATATGTATATACATATTTTGTTTAGTCTACGAAGGAAATTGTAATCTTATCACATCTCGTTAGTCTTCTAACTGGAACGTAGTAAGATCGAAACGTCCTTTCAATTGTATTTATTTCCGGTTACAACTTTTTTTATTACGTTTTATTTATTGAATCTGCCTCTATTTTTACAGGCCTCACAATAAGTAATTAAATCTTATAACTAAAATAATTGTTTTTCTTTTAGTAGAGAATCGCACTGGCAAATTGCCCTTAAATCAAATTAGGTGGAAGTCAGCGGTAGCCGAATTGATAATCTGGGCTAATGTTTTGACTATTTAAGAATGTTATAATTTTTCGTTGAAAAACTTTCTCAAATAGTTTTGACAGACAAGGTAATAAGCTGATCGGTTTCCAATCATGGAGGGTGTAATTAAATCATAACCAGGAGATTTCATTAGGTTAATATTATGTTTTATGATATTTTTGAACATCTTCTAAACTAATGTTGATTAGTTCAGAGTCTGATTCTGGTTGAAAAGGTAACACCCCTAATACAAAGTTATTTGTGGGGGGGATACGGTTGGAATACATTGCTTAAATGTTCAGCGAATACTATGACCTTATCCTTTGGACTTCGTGCCCAAGTGCTATCAGATTTTCTTAACGGACTTTGACCTTCTATTTTTAGCTGCCTTCCAAAGGGAAAAATTTGTGTGCTTAGTATTAGTTAAACTTTTAATATAGTTTCTATTTCTGCGATCCTCTTCCGAATGAAGGGCTCTTTTTAGTTTATTGCTTACAGTGAATAGCCTCTGCTTAGCAGCAGGTGATATGTTAAGTTGCCAATCTCTTCTACATCTCCTCTTTTCAAAGAGAAGTATATCAATTTCTGCGTTAGAGATATATGTTTTAGGTTTAGTAGGAATTTGGCACTTAGAGTGATCCAAGGCCGAAAATATTAGAGACGTGAAGTCACTAACAATATTATTAATATCTTCCTCACACTGTAGGTTAAGATCAATGTGGATATGACTGCTTATATATTTTTTGTATTTTAACCAATCAGTCTTGAAGAAAAATTAAATTTTCTTTGTTTTCAAACTTCAGTATGTTAGCATATGAGACGGTTTTAGACTGCACGCGAATATCTTGGTTGATGTTTTTTGTCTTTCAAATTAGTTTCACAACTTAGACGACGGTCTGTGAAATTAATCTCGGTTTCTGTTTTGCAATAGGAAAATCTTATTCTCTAGGACGATATTTAAATATGATCGACGAATTAGTGATAGAAAAAAAAACATCTTTCACAAAGATGGATCCTCACTTCCCTGGCCCTTGATAGAAATTCCTTAAAACGTAAGAGTTACTACAGTTGTTTAGACGCAAGCTGAGAAATCATTGTATATGAAATAACGTTCACTAACGAATCTAATAAATCACAGGAATCACAAGATTCTTCAACTTTGGGAAGAATCACGTTAAGAGTAACATCGTGAGTCAAATAGCCGTTAAAATGAGGACCAGCCACTAGAAATGGTAGTTTTATTTCCAAAGTATTTGTACCATATTCAAAATTATAGTATTTTTTACGTTAAGGTAAAAAATTAACAAATGAAAAAACTTCGTGAGAATGTTATATACATACATTCCAGATATGTATAAGTTTTACATACCGTTAGCAATTTCTACCCTACAAGCATAAAAAGTCGCTATACTAAAATCTTTGATGTAAACATAACAGCAAGGAGAAGGTACTATTTCAACGTTTTTATGTTATTTGTAATGGATTCCTTATTTGCTTTATAAAGAAAATATTTTCCAACTTTACGCCCTTTATAAGCTTCAAGTAACATCATTTCGGTCTTTTACTTTTAATATTTTAAAGACTACTACTGTTTAAAAGTTCAAAGTTTTTGGATTTTTCTTTCATTATTGACTAAGTTTACTTCATTCAAATATACAAATGTAATTCTACACAAAATGAAATACAACCCTGATCAGCTGCCTACGTGTCAAAAGTTATTGAACTTTTCGCGGCAGACGCGTTGCAATTTACGGTATGTAACTTGTTAAATGAAAATACACTATTTCAACTTCTTTTGACACAAGTCTATACCGCGTTGTATATTTCCAACTAAAGCCCCCTTCACACGAGCACATAAGTAATATGATCTGTCAAAATGTTGTGTAGAAGAGAACGGATGGGATCGTCTAAACGCAATATGTAACGAAATCATCACACATTGAGAGAAAATACGGATGGAAAATTTAACAGTCGTATGGCTCTCTTCATTTTTTGCAATGATTCAAAAAACAGGCAAGTCGCGTTAGATCAGGCATGTATTTTTATGTAAACACATACAAAAAAAGTGAATCAGCTGTTTCCAACTTACTTTGTTATTGTTTTATAACAATCGTCTAAACACAAAAAATATAAGTCATACGACTTATATTCTCTTTTTTGTCATATGGATGGAATTTCATTTTACTTTTCCATTAGACTTGTCGTACATAAAGTGTGATCGTCTGAAGGGGTCTTAATGGTGAAGAAGGGTATTTAAGATTCGCCAAAATCGAACATATCATTTTTACTTGTTTAAGGAAATATTTTTAATCTTGTTTCTTTCATATCACAAAAATACCTCCAGTATGTCGCACGAACACTTTTTCTTTTTAGCTAAACAATCTAACAGGAACACTGACCGACCGAAATAACAAAACAATGAAAGCAAAAAAAAAAAAAACGTGAATCAACCAAAAATGTGTGCGATCAATCGACTGAAGAATGATCGACAAAATTGTTAAACAGGTTAGTAGGAAGACTAATATTCCTTAGCAACAAAAGTAGAAAAGTACAAGTATTTGTGTGATAAAACAATACAAGAATATTTGATCAGCTTACGGTTTATTAAGGTTGCCAGATCTATGTGTAATTTTTAAACATAATAATCCTTAAATTTTAATGTTTTGTAAATAATAAAATTTTTGCATTAATTGTTTAATATTCCGTACTGATAGTGCTACAGGAAAACTTAAATACAAATTTGTATGAATTTGCATTTTGAAAATTATTATTGAAATTAGTTTCAATAAACAGTTTGCGATTTATTTTATAATCGTATATTTTTTAAAATTTATATTATGCAAGTACATCTCGGCATTCCAAATAGTTAATTCATACAGAAAAAATCGTGCGAAATATTTAAAAAAGTTTCTAGTCTCAAAAGACCTTTGAAATCCCCAACATTGGAAAAAATTTCCTTAGACTGGCAAGTTTGTTTGTGGTGGTTTATTATTCTTTCTAATTTTTTGTGACGAGTTAAAATTCTTTGAACTTTAAAGCTTTTGCTGTGTGCTTTTTTCTTACACAAGATTGCGCACTGTTGCATAAAACAAAAAAAAAGGAACACTAAATAACCAAAAATTTTGCCCATTCATTGAATTTCTGCAAGATAATAGATCATTGAACTTTTGTTGTTATTAATTTCAATGTTGAAATCTACATGACTGCAATCAAATCATGCCTCTATTAAACTAATTTATTAGTAAATTTCACAAGAATTTGAAATACCTATACAAAATTCATACATACAGATGTACAAATGTTTGTATGTATGTAGATTTCAAGGGGTTTTTATTTATATGAAATTTTTTAAAATTACGAAGAGTGTGTGTCCGATTACACAGGCCGACAAAATTTTAAATACATAAGTATATTAAAATTACGGTACAGGGCATAAATAACCCAGTACGTCGACTCATTTATCGTCGTCACAGGATATACAGAGGCTTCATGAACAAAAAATATTTCTATATCTTTCGCACAACACTGTACACCTATTTTTTTTGGTTGTATATCATATACCTTTTCCCACAAATGTTTACAAAAGCCACAGAAAAGCTTTTGGAAATGTCAACAATGACACCTCTCTATACTTTGCGGTCATCCTTCGATAGTGAGCAAAGGACTACTACGGAGGTGTATACATTAGGGTCATAACTTTTATACAATTTTTGAAAATTTCCAATCGGCCCTACCTATTTCGTATAGAGTATTAAAAAGTACGTCGAAAAAGTATATCACTTTTTTCGAGCGCTAAAAAAGTTTCCGCGGCAAATGCTCCAAATTTTTCAATATTTACTTTAACAAAATTTTAAATTTTTTCATACAAAATCGGAATTTTTTAATATAAACAGTGTCATTGTTTAACCCACGACATTTATACAAGGATATGGACTGCGGCTAATCCCTCTTCCGATTTTAGTATCCAAACTTGTAGAATATACTATTAAAAATTCATGTAAATTTGTTTGTGAATGGTTTTAAAATGACCCGAGAAAATGGTTTTCGTTATTAGAACACTACTGGCTACCACGCAGTGATAGGGCCTAATTTTGATTATAACCCTAGAGTACATAGGGCTTCATACCAAATCCCAAAAAGGATGGAGTACTGGAGCACAGAGAAAGAAATCGAAGAAGATGTTTCAGGAAATCATAGTAGAGAACCTATGACGAAAACGTGCTCCTCGCCTTCTAATATAAAGTCGAAACCTCACTCACAGAAATCTCAAATCATAGCAATGGTGACAAAGCCAAGTAAGATATTCCGAAGACGAGTACGTCAGCGAAATCAACCTTGAACGTAAGGGTGTCTTAAAAGAAGCCACGGAAAAAGAGTAAGAATACGCTAAACAGTGAAATAGAAAGTTGTCAATAGAAGGCAAAAAAAGGCTGGTAAACTGACAGGAAAAATTATAATAGACAATCACAGTAAGATAGAAGACTTGGTCAATCAAACAATAGAAAATGTGGGCGTGGTGTTGATGAGGTTGTCATCTCACCAATGTGCTGGTACCCTAAAGAACTTTGTGGATGGTCAAGAAAGCTGCTTTTAAAGTTTTCATAAAAGGATG